AGCAAATTCCACTGTCGAACAGCTCTTACTGTCAGGAAGTTCTTCCTAATGTTTAGGTGGAATCTTCTTTCTTGTCGTTTGGATCCATTGCTCCGTGTCCGCTTCTCTGGAGCAGCAGAAAACAACCTTTCTCCCTCCTCTATATGACATCCTTTTATATATTTGAACATGGCTATCATATCACCCCTTAACCTCCTCTTCTCCAGGCTAAACATGCCCAGCTCCCTTAGCCGTTCCTCATAAGGCATCGTTTCCAGGCCTTTGACCATTTTGGTTGCCCTCCTCTGGACACGTTCCAGTTTGTCAGTGTCCTTCTTGAACTGTGGTGCCCCGAACTGGACACAGTACTCCAGGTGAGGTCTGACCAGAGCAGAATACAGTGGCACTATTACAAGGCATATGATATATATGATATATGATATACAAGGCATATCGTTACATGTCCACCAAGTCATGATAGACAAGGCATGTCATGACATACATGGTGTGCCTTATGTCGTGACATGCCTTGTGCGTCATGACAGGACATGTCAATCATGTCATGTCATGACATGCTTTTGTGTGTCAAGACAAGACAGTTTGAGGGCAGTGCAGAAAGCAGGTTGTGCTGCACAAAATGGCACCAAATAGCACTCCACATTGGCAATTGGACAAGGTTGGGTTTGGGGGTATCCCTATGGACCCCAGTTCGAGTTTCAAATGCTCAGTTTGGGGGACTGTACAGTTGGGTTTGTTGCACAAAATGGCACAAAACCAGTGCACCACTTTGGCATTGGTTCGGAGTCAATAGAACAAGGTTGGGTTTGGGTCAGATTTTTGTGTCAGATTTTTTTGGGGGGGTGGATCCGGAATTTTGGAGTCACACGTTAATGAAGCCTGATAGTCACAAATGCAAAGGAACCTGGCTAGACATCCGAAATAGGGGAAAGTTCAGGCAGAAAAGAAAACGGTGCTACAGACATGTGTTTTGGAGTGTTGCCTTCTCTCGACTGGAACAGAGAAATAAGTGCTTTTATAGAGATCGCAAAGCAGCATTAACTATTGCTAAAATCCAGGTTGGTCTCCATATTGCCCTCTTCACATGCATGAGAAGATCCATTATGTAGGCCCAGTGTTAAGTAGCAAAGTCCAAACGGCTTGCATCATGGTTCCAGCATGATCCTCACACCTCGTTCCTATCCTGCTTCTTTGTTCTTAGCCTGTGTAGGAAGAAAGGTCCACACAAACATGTCCTTTCTGATATGTGGTCGCTAAGCAGCCGCAAAGGACATTTTGGCTGGGTATCAAGGTTACTGATAGTATAAATGAAGCTTTGAAGTTGTTTTAAGTTTTCAGTCTATCTGAGATTTTAATCCATGATACTTTATGCTATAATAGCTTTCTGAAGTGCTTTCAGGTGCAACAATACTTTTTCGTTGTCCCTCTCCACAAACCCCAAAACAAATTGGAGGAACACTTCCCTTTGACACCTAAAATGTCCAGCCCAAATTGCCAAGACAGGTATTCACTGGTGTTGCATCTGCATCCATATATCATATATCATAGGATCAGGGTGGCGCTGTGGTCTAATCCACCAAGCCTCTTGGGCTTGCCAATCAGAAGGTTGGCGGTTCGAATCCCCCGCAACGGGGTGAGCTCCAGTTCTTCTATCCCAGCTCCTGCCAACCTAGCAGTTTGAAAGCATGCTAGTGCAAATAAATCAATAGGTACCGCTGTGGCGGGAAAGTAAAGGGTGTTTCCGTGCGCTCTTGTTTCCGTCATGGTGTCCCGTTGTGCCAGAAGCGGTTTAGTCATGCTGGCCACATGACCTGGAAAGATATCTGTGGACAAACGCTGGCTCCCTCTGCCCGAAAGCGAGATGAGCGCCGCAACCCCAGAGTCTTTACGTTTACCATATATCATGGCCATCAATAACATGCGTGCTGCAGGAAAGATGTGTAATACTCCTGTTTCCCCTTCCTCCTTAACAGCCGGAGGCCTGGGTGGGCAGGCCGGAGGCCTGGGCAGGCTGGGTCACCCTCTTATATACCTACTGGGATTGACAAGGCCTTTGACCCTCACCTGAATCTCATTGCTCACTTTTCTTTATTAGTGCCACTTTGTTTTGTACAATTCCTTGCAAATGAAGCAAAACAACTTTTCTGCTTGTATATGTTGATAATATAATTTTGGTTCCAGAGGACAAACAAGATTGTACAAAAACAAGGTTGGGTGCAGGCCTGGCCAGGACATAGGCGTCTTGACTGTGACAAAGGTGACCTGTGTGCCTGCTTGCTTGATTAACAGCTGTTGGGAACTTCAAGGTCCCTGCTCTCCTTTCTTATGGTCTTTGTACTGGACCTGGAGACTCCAATAGAGAGCATTCCATGTCAAGAAGGAGGGCAAGTGGGCACCCTATCAAATAACAGGGCAGGAGCTACACAGAACAGGGCCTTTTCACTGGTGGTACCCATTGTATGCCTCGCTCTTCCCAGACCTGCTCTCTTTTGGCCTGCATTTTGGAGCTTTATAATTTAGGAAGACTTTGGAAGAACTGGTTGACAAGTCTTATCAGTTGCTGATGTATGAGCAGATTTTATTTGCTGCTATTCTGTGCTTCTGATGCACCAGGGTTTACACCAGCGTAATTGAGTTGGCCAGGATGCCAGAAGGGAGATGTCAGGGATGATTCGGAGAAGCAATGGACAGAAGAGGCGGAACAGGGGTTCAGAGATGCTGAAGAGCCCTGCAACCACCCAGAGACCCAGGGGAATCGTAGGAAGCCACTCCCCGAATCTGACTCAACGAGTTCAGACGCGTTATTCTGAACTATAGCTGTTTCTTGTATATATGTAATAAAGACTGTAAATACCAATGCTGACTGTGCCGGAGTGTTAATGCGAAGGGGAAACACCACTTTTACAGGATACAATTTACAAGCTTTCTCCATTATCTGCACAGCAGGGGGTGTTTAGTCAACAGTGCAAAGGCTGAGCTGAAACATTCCCTGCTGGTTACCTGCTTTCAGCAATAGGGGTCACTGTTTGGTAGTACCCAATTGGTTAGCTGTCAGATTCTAGAGCTTCCTATTGATGGCTCTTAGGTAATTCACAAAATACAGAGTCCATTCATAAAGCACAGTATTCATTCATAAAGCGGTAACATAAATCTGCATTGCTACATATTGGGTGTATATTTCAGTGGTTGAACGTACACGTTTATGGCCATGCTTTAGTGTAGTGCTTATGTGACTGTGAATAAAAGGGTTTGCAGGGGAAGAGGTGACAAAACTGATTACCAATAAGTGCCCCCCTTTATTTCCATAACAAGTCCTTGTGTTTGTACTCTGAATGGTGACACCAGCAACCTAGAGGGTGCAGGGCTTGTCAGTCCAACCCCTGCACAGTCTCATCAGGGCTGACCTTAAGGCAATTGGAGCAATTGGGCCAAATTGGGCCCCACGGGCCACTCCTAAGGGGGCCCCTGCACTAGGGCAATCTAGATGGATATTATTTATATCTATAAGATTTTGCAGACTTTGGCTGTGAACTGGGGCCCTACAAAAAAAAAATTAAGTTGCGCCCCACTGCTTCAGATTGGGCCTTACTGGCTAGCCCTGAGTCTAATAGTTGCTGGGCCTGAGTTGCCCTGCCCTTGCATGAAGTCTTGGGTTTACAATTTTGGGAGAGGGGAGGCTGCGGCACTGGGGCACGGGCAGGCTGGCGAGGCCCCCTAGATTTAGAGGCCCAAGTAGTCCTGCCCTCACATGAAGTATTGGGTTTGCAATTTTGGGAGGAGGAGACTGCCCGCTGGGGAGCGGGAGGGCTGGTGAGGCCCCCTAGATTTAGAGGCCCTAGGCTTCAGCCTACTTAGCCTATACATAAATCCAGCACTAGCTGTGGACCATGAGTTCCCCTACCTTACATAAGAATAATACACTGGTAAAAGTGCATACATGTGATGTGAAGAATGGGGAACCTCTGCCCCTATAGGTGTTGTTGGACTCCATTTCCCATCAGCCCCAGCCAGAATGGCTGGTGGTCAGGGCTATGGGAGTTATAGTCCAACAACATCGAGAACGCAGAATAAGAAAGTCCTAATGGAACATCCCAAATTATTTCCCCACCTGTCAGCAGTAAACATAGCAACGTGAACTCAAAATCAATTTCAATGGAAGACACAGCAAGAAAAGGCAAGGTTTTCATTATGTAGGCTCACCTACACCAGTAAATGTACAGTACAACCAGCTTTGGAAGCAGCTGCTCAATAATAAATAATAATAATAATAATAATAATAATAATAATAATAATAATAATAATAATTTTATTATTTATACCCAGCCCATCTGGCTGGGTTTCCCCAGTCACTCTGGGCAGCTTACAACACATATAAAAACATAGTAAAACGTCAAACATTTTTAAAGAAAACTTTCAGCGAGTAGAACTAATGAAGGAACCTTGAGAACAAATAATCTGAAAACAGTTTTGGAATCATGCACACACCAGCTCAAGTCACTGGTTTGGAAACTCAGGATTGCAGTTTGGCAACTTGGAAAAAACCAAAAACTCGTTGTTATTAAACCAGTGTCTATCTTGATTTCCCACCTCAGATGTGCTTCCATTCTAGATCCCCTGGTCTGCGCAGGGTAGGGCAGAACAGAGCGAGGAGCTGGGACAGGGAGTAATTGGCACAGGCCTATGATTCTGAGGAGGCCGACTTTGAGTATTTGCTCTGTTCTGTTACTTGTTGGCGCTGTGGGTTAAACCACAGAGCCTAGGACTTGCCGATCAGAAGGATGGCGGTTCGAATCCCCGCGACGGGGTGAGCTCCCGTTGCTCGGTCCCAGCTCCTGCCAACCTAGCAGTTCGAAAGCACGTCAAAGTGCAAGTAGATAAATAGGTACCGCTCCGGTGGGAAGGTAAACGGCGTTTCCGTGCGCTGCTCTGGTTCTCCAGAAGCGGCTTAGTCATGCTGGCCACATGACCCGGAAGCTGTCTGTGGACAAACGCCAGCTCCCATGGCCTATAGAGCGAGATGAGCGCCGCAACCCCAGAGTCGGTCACGACTGGACCTAATGGTCAGGGGTCCCTTTACCTTTACCTTTTTATGCACGACACGAGCAGTTTGAAATGGGGCCTACATTTTCTGTCCAGGCTGGGCCCATTACCAGCTTTGCACAGCCCTGGGTCTAGCCAGGGGGGAAAGTGTCAAATAATTCATAGGGACAGCACACACAAAAAGTGCATGCTTGTGTGGTCTTCAAAGAGATTACCTAAATCTTCCTAGAGCCAATGGCTTGTGTATAGTTTATTAACGATTACAGCAGGCAGGCTGCATGTGGAGGGAAGGCATGACACATAATGTGGTGGAAATACAACAGGTTATCTTTTTAGAAAGCACTATTGAAGAAGCTGTCAATAAATGCAACTCTCAGCAAGTATAACTTGCGCCGCTTTTGTCGTTGCATCCTCAGGAACGGCATCTCTACAGTCCACGTAGAGTCCACATATTAAACATGCTGATCCCAACGCACCAATTGGTCTGTCGAATGATCGCCTGGAGGGACAGCACAGGGCTGTGGAAAATCCACAGGATTAGATCCTAGTCTTCGCTTCCGGAATTGCAGGAGACTGGGGTTGTTCAAAAGCGTGTAAAGCAACAGCCATCTTTTCCTGGCTCTGCCTGATACCCTGGGAGCTAAAAACAAGACGGACAATTAAATTTTCAAACATCAGCAACATGCATGCACCACAACCTCTATACCTTATTTATAAGGCTTCCATTTTGTTTCCAGGTAATAATAATAATAATAATTTATTATTTGTACCCCGCCCATCTGGCTGGGTTTCCCCAGCCACTCTGGGCAGCTTCCACAGAGACCAGAAATACACTAAAATGTCACACATTAAAAACTTCCCTGAACAGGGCTGCCTTCAGATGTCTTCTGAATGTCAGGTAGTTGTTTATTGCTTTGACATCTGATGGGAGGGCGTTCCACAGGGAGGGCGCCACTACCAAGAAGGCCCTCTGCCTGGTTCCCGGTAGCTTTGCAGCTGTGGTACAACTCTAGGTGCTCACGTTAGTGTTTAAAGCTCAAAGTAACTTAGGCCCCAAATATCTGCAAGACCACCTCCTTCCCTCCAGACCATCATGGAGGTCAAAATCAGCGGAGGGGACCCTCCTGGTAGTTCCATCACTCTCAGCTGTTTATGGGATGGCAGCCCTGGAAAAGGCATTCACTGTAGCAGCCCCAAAGTTGTAGAATTCCCTTCCCACAGATGTGTGTCTGGAACTTTCATTAAGCCACTCTCATCAGAGGCTTAAAACGAACCTCTTTACCCTGGCCTTTGATACCTGAAATACATATCTTGGGACCAACCCTATTCTCTTGAATGTTAATCCTTTTTTAAAATTAGGCTTTTAATTGTCATAACCCACCCTGGGGCAGACTAATGACTGTGCTGAAAGACCTTTCCTTTTCTTCCTGTCCCTCGGAGCACTCACGTTATGTACTGAGTTGAGTAGGATCCAAACTGCAGCAGTCTGATTGGTCCTAGAACAATAGGATTCAGAATGCAGCAGTCTGATTGGTCCTAGAACAATGCAGCAGTATGATTGGTTGGCAGGAACTACCCAATCATGCTCCAGATAGAAGTGAATCCACAACCTGATTGGCTTACAGTAGAATTCCGGAATTAGCCAATCATGTGCAGCCCATTGTGTAAATAATGTATATAAAGCAGATACTTTGAGGGGACTTTCATTCATTTCTTCTCACCACTATGAGCTGAATAAAGAGCATGAAATCACTTTGCGACTCCGAGTATATTTCAACTCAGAAGTCAATTGACTGCAGTAAAATAATTATTTATTTTGCCATGACAAAAATGGTACAGGCAAGCTAATGCTCATTGCCTGCCTCCCTTCTCTGGGCTTGCCAGCCTTTTTCATACCCTCTGGGACGGATGATCATTTGATTTCCCAGAAAACACGTGATTTATGGGAAATGGTGTAGAATTTAGCTTTATTTCCAGTCCCTCCTTCCTCCTGTTTCAGCCTCCCTCCCTCTGGGGTTACAATAACATCCATTCAACCTTGCTCTTTATCTCTGCCAGACATTCCTGAGAGAGGCCTATTTTCACTGTAACATCTAAGCAACAAGAAAAAGCCTTGACCTTCTGGCTGGTGTAAAAACCTCCCCCCCTCCCTTAAAGGTAGGGGTTTGGGGATAACATATGAGAGAGGAGAAAATGCCTCAAAGAGTTTTGGGGATCATATAGAGAACAACATTTTAATGGCCCTTCAGTACAACCACAAAAGACATTTGAAATTGGTGTCAGGTAGGTTGGACCTAGGGTTGGCTCCTGAAGCAAACCACAGAATGGTGCCTCTCTCCCTGTCAGGGAAGAAGGGGTAAGTGGAGATCTACATCAGGAACAAGGGAAGAATAATTGGGATCTGCTGCCTCATGGATGGGTTGGCCCTGGTTGGACCAACTAGCCAACCTGTCAGCCTCAATCACATACAGTACTTATAACATTCAGTGTTTGGACAGCGAATGGTACAGCTGCGAAAGCAAAGACTTTAAAAACAAAACAAAACCCTAGAATGGAATTTGAACAGTGCTGCTGTGAGTGAATGGGGTTTTCAAAGAATATGTAGTGTTGCCAACTGGCCGGGGGTTAGGTTGGGGTGGAACTGGCCGGCTCTTATGCACTTAAAAGCAGCTTGCTCAGCAGAAATCAGTAGCGGTAGCTTTTCATGGCACAGACGCTGATAATGTTCTCACATCCAACTGCTGTTACAAGATCCAGGAACAGTGGGCTGATGAAAACGTTGGCAATCCTAAGAATAAGTGGGGCACATGTCTTTTTTGTTTGTCCTTTGCTAGGTAAAGGTAAAGGGACCCCTGACCATTAGGTCCAGTTGTGGCCGACTCTGGGGTTGCGGCGCTCATCTCGCTTTACTGACCGAGGGAGCCGGCGTACAGCTTCCGGGTCATGTGGCCAGCATGACTAAGCCACTTCTGGCGAACCAGAGCAGTACACAGAAACACCGTTTACCTTCCCGCTGGAGGGGTACCTATTTATCTACTTGCACTTTGACATGCTTTCGAACTGCTAGGTTGGCAGGAGCAGGGACCGAACAATGGGAGCTCACCCCGTCGCGGGGATTCGAACCACCGACCTTCTGATCGGCAAGTCCTAGGCTCTGTGGTTTAACCCACAGCGCCACCCACGTCCCATTGGCCCTTGCTAGCCCAGAACAAATTTTGAGTTTCTGAACTTCCTGTTCTTGGGAAGAAGGGCTTGGGTTTTTAAGAATTAGAAAACATCCAGGACAAACAGTTTTTAATGTGTACGTTTTTTCAGTTCCTTGGTGGTAGCGATATTTGGAGCCATCCTCACAACTGCAGAGTTACGATTTGCGAAACATATCTTTAGGTACCAGGCAAAAGCATTCCTCATCTCCCAGGCCTTTGGCTAATTAATCAATGGCCTTTTAAACTATGGAGTGTGTGTGTGTGTTATTGTTTTGCTTGTTACTATGTTACATATTTTTAATACAGTCAAACCTTGGTCGTCGAATGTAATCTGTCCCAGAAGGCCATTTGACTTCCGAAATGTTTGACAACCAAAAACTGAAAGGGGAAGCCTTGATACAATAGGGAAACTCAAAATGGAAGCTGTGTAGCACATTCGACTTCCGAAAATCATTCGGAAACTGGAGCATTTACTTCCAGGTTTTTGGCAGCCGAAACGTACAATAACAAAGGCATTCGGAAACCGAGATTTGACTGTACAGTGGTACCTCGGGTTACATACGCTTCAGGTTACATACACTTCAGGTTACACACTCTGCTAATCCAGAAATAGTGCTTCAGGTTAAGAACTTTGCTTCAGGATAAGAACAGAAATTGTGCTCCGGTGGCGCGGCAGCAGAAGGAGGGCCCATTAGCTAAAGTGGTGCTTCAGGATAAGAACAGTTTCAGATTAAGAACGGACCTCCGGAATGAATTAAGTACTTAACCCGAGGTACCACTGTACTGTAAACTGCCCTGTCATCCTTGGGTGAATGGCAGTATATCAAACAAACAAACAAACAAACAAACAGCTAGAGACACACAAACATATAAGCTTTGTTAAATTGACTCCCAGCATTTCTGATAGTTTACCTATTTCCCTCATGTCCGTGTTTTCGGTGGGTCCATTGACTTTTTGCCATTGCCTCTGTCTGATTTTGGTATCCAGGATGTGGCAGAAGCAGACAAGGATGGGGTTCGAGTGGTAGTGGTCCATCAAGAGCATTGCAACCCAAGACTTGTATGCTACAGTGAAATAAACACCATTCACCTATTGATGCCAAATGCACCCTTCCATCCCCACAATGAAGCCACGATGCATTGGAAATGTAGATCGGTTCCGTATTTTGAGAACTTCCCAGCATCCAGAGCATCCCTCTCTTGGGGTGCTTACCTTTATCACAGCCTTCAAAGCCCTTTGGCATCACTGGCCTGTCCAATCGTCCAACCAGGAAGGCTCCCAGGACAGTGCTGCGTAACACTCTCATGAGGCAGGAAAAAAAACCCACCACCACCGAGTGGAAGAATAAAAAGTAGCTGAAGTTTACAAAGGCTTTCCTGAAAAGGAAGAGACGTCTCAGCTGAGCAGTTCCACAGTCACCCCCCACAGAAAAAAACTGGAGGCAGGACCAGGTGTATTTGCTTTCAAACTGCAGCAAACATAGCTCAGACCAAAGCATAAATATTCTCCAAGTCTGAATTTGAAGGCAGATGCGGTTGCACTGAGTTTGCTACAATATTCAGAAATGCTTAGTGATTGTTCCTGTGCATAGCTTAAGGAAATAAAGGTCATATGAGGTAAAGGTAAAGGGACCCCTGACCATTAGGTCCAGTCGTGGCCAACTCTGGGGTTGTGGCGCTCATCACGCTTTATTGGCTGAGGGAGCCGGCATACAGCTTCCGGGTCATGTGGCCAGCATGACTAAGTCGCTTCTGGCGAACCAGAGCAGCGCACGGAAACGCCGTTTACCTTCCCGCCGGAGCGGTACCTATTTATCTACTTGCAGTTTGACGTGCTTTCGAACTGCTAGGTTGGCAGGAGCAGGGACCGAACAACGGGAGCTCACCCAATCACGGGGATTCGAACCACCGACCTTCTGATCAGCAAGACCTAGGTTCTGTGGTTTAACCCACAGCACCACCCCCGTCCCATAAAGGTCATATAGTACTATATAATTAAAGTTGTTGAATTTGCGCTAACTGTACTTGTTGAACGGTTGAAAAAGCTTTAATGCATTAACCCTGGACAAAAAGAAGGTGTCAGAAAGAGCTTGTTGCTTCCAAGAAAATACAGATATACAAATGCATGTAAATAACGGTAAATAGACATAAGTGATTTCACCCCATTAATCACCTCTCTTGGAATACAAGAGGGTAGCACTTTGACTTGAATTACACAAGCAGCACCACTGCCATTCCCTTTGTTTGCAGCAGGGGGAGTCAAAGTAGACATTATTGGACTAGCAACTCCCATCAGCCTCAGTCACCATAGTCAGTGGTTGGAGATGATGGGAATTGTAGTACAACAGTATCTGAAGAGCACTAAGTTCATTATGCCTGGTTTATTGGTTTTTAATAAGGAATATAGGCAGACCAGAATATGAAAAGACAAGCAGAGGCAGAAATCTGAAGACAGGGAGGAGACAGAGAGTCATACAGTGGTGCCTCGCAAGACGAAAAGAATACGTTCTGCGAGTCTCTTCGCCTAGCGGTTTTTTTGTCTTGCGAAGCAACCCCATTAGCGGCTAAGCGGATTAGTGCTATTAGTGGTTTAGCGGCTTAGCGGCTATTAAAGGCTTAGCGGCTTAGCTGCTAAAAGGCTATTAGCGGCTTAGTGGCTTAGAAAAAGGGGGGGAAAGCGGAAAAAAATGGCGAGACTCGCAAGACGTTTTTGTCTTGCGAAGCAAGCACATAGGGAAATTCGTCTTGCGAAGCGCATCGCAAACGGAAAACCCTTTCGTCTAGCGGGTTTTCCATCTTGCGAGGCATTCGTCTTGCGGGGCACCACTGTATATGATTTAAAAAATTAAAGGTGGGCGCCATTTTGCAACATGGGTTTAAAGGTAAATTCTGGTTCTGAAAAAGACTATGGACTGTGGGTGTCATAGAAGGTTCGTTTAGGGACTCGAAGGAGTTGCAACTTGGAGCTGAACGACATGTTCAGAAGAATCATGTGACAGAGGGAGGATTTCAGATTGCGGGAAGGGAGAAAGCAGGAGTTTCATCACCGTTAAAAAAAATGAATGAAGAAACAGATAATCAGTGGTGGCCTTTTTATAAATATAACATTCTGCAGGGATAGCTCATACAATCATAGAATTGTAGAGTTGGAAGGGACCCAGGGGTCATCTAGTCCAACCCCCTGAAATGCAGGAATCTCAAAAAAAAAAAAAGCATCCATGATGACCATCCAATCTCTGATTAAAACCCTCCAAGGAAGGAAAGTCCACAACCTCCTGAGGGAGACTTCCCATCTTCCCATCTTGCGTGATTTTCCTAGGTGCCCTAATGGAATACCTTTATTCAAGGAATTGAAGACCAGGAATAGTCTCACTCCCTGATACCAACCTGTTGTCAAGTGCCAGAGGTCTCTGATCGTCTTTTGGTGAAATCTTTGGCTGAAGAAAGACTCGAGAACCTGCAAGCAACTCCAGCCTCCTCAAAAGCATGACGAGGACAAATGAAAGACTGTGAGGCAGAAAAGGAAGATAAAACTATTTTAAGAAAATTATAACCACTGCAAAGAAGTGGAGATAAAGAGTTGTTTTCAGGTAAGTTCTACTCAGACCAGCTGAAATGAATGTTAAAGGACCCCCTGGACAGTTAAGTCCAGTCAAAGGCGACTCTGGGGTTGCGGCGTTCATCTCGCTTTTCAGGCCGAAGCGTTTGTCCACAGACAGCTTTCCGGGGCATGTGGCCAGCATGTCTAAGCCGCTTCTGGCACAATGGAACACCGTGATAGAAACCAGAGCACACAAAAGCACCATTTACCTACCCGCCACAGTGGTACCTATTTATCTACTTGCACTGGCATGCTTTAGAACTGCTAGGTTGGCAGGAGCTGGGACAGAGCAATGAGAGCTCACCGTCGCAGATTCGAACTGCCGACCTTCTGATTGGCAAGGCCAAGAGGCTCAGTGGTTTAGACCACAGCTCCACCCACTCCCTACTTGAAATGAATGAACCTAAGATAGTGGTGTACAAACTTTTTTCAAAGAGGGCCAGATCTGATGAAGTGAAGGGCTGTGAGGGCAGCCCAAAGGGCCGACCCGGGTTGTTGACCTTTTTTTTTAGAATTGAAGCTGTTGAGGTTTTTTTATGATTTTACCCCTGGAAGTAAACTGCCAGAGGGGGCAGATTTAACCGACCAGCGGGCTGGATTAGGCCCCTGAGATGGACTTTGGACCTGCCTGACCTAACATAAGCATGCCCATTAACTTCAATGGGTCTGCTGCATGCCCCCCCCCCAAAATTGATCACAAGACGCAAAACATGCCCATCAACTTTGGGGGACCCGACTCCCTCAAATATTTTATGCGGGGGAGCAAAGGGACCTCAGACCCTAGGAACTGGCTCCTATGCCACAGAACAATCACTCCAATCCTCAATCCCTCATCAGTGAATTAAAAAAAAATCTTTATTTGTTTAGTGGAATCTGTACAGTGCTTAGCTGTTAAAACCTTCAAGCACTTTATATAAAATACAGTCGTACCTCAGAAGTCGAACGGAATCCGTTCTGGAAGTCCCTTTGACTTCCAAAACATTCGAAAACCAAATTGTGGCTTCTGATTGGCTGCAGGAACCCACGGAACCCACGTCAGACGTTCAGGTTCCAAAGAACATTCGCAAACCGGAACACTCACTTCCGGGTTTGCGGCATTCAGGTGCCACAACATTCGACTCACAAGGCGTTTGACTTCCGAGGTATGACTGTAATATATACTATAAAGTAATCATTAACAAAAGAAGTTAGCCTTTTTCTTTTTCTCGTTTACAAATTATAAAAAGCCGTTATTATTTTTAAGAAAAGAGAGCTATTCTTCTGAAAACTGACACTTACATCACAGTTCCCCACTTGTCCAGAAGTTTGGCCCATTCACCATGTACCATGGGCAAAATAATCACGTACACAAGAATCATCCCAGCTACAAACTGCATCAGATGCATGATCAGGTAACCTGGATGGAAGATAAAAGTTGTCAACATGGGATCGGGGGAGAGGGCTGGTAACACCAGCCCCCTATGAACTTATGCCAAAGCCCGAAAGACAAGTTATCACATACCCCATATTATGTATGCGATTTGGTAAGCGGTGAATCTTCCCAGTGCTAGCTGTTGATGTAAAGACAAAAAGAAAGGACGATTCATTTATGCAGGCATGCCACAAAGACAATTTGGAAGCAAAAAATATAAATATAACTATTGTGTTTCCAAGCACAATTCCAAGTGTTGGTGCTGACCCTTAAAGCCCTGTACCTGAAGGAGCGTCTCCACCCCCATTGTTCAGCCTACACACTGAGGTCCAGCTCTGAGGGCCTTCTGGTGATTCTCTCATTGCGGTAAGTGAGGTTACAGGGAACCAGGCAGAGGGCCTTCTCGTTGGTGGCACCTCCCCTGTGGAATGCCCTCCCATCAGATGTCAAGGAAACAAACAACTATCTGATGATTAGAAGACACCTGAAGGCAGTCCTGTTTAGGGAAGTTTTTAATGACTGATGTTTTAATGTATTTTTAATCTCTGGTTGGGAGCCGCCCAGAGTGGCTGGGCAAACCCAGCCAGATGGGCGGGGTATAAGTAATATATTATTATTATTATTATTATTATTATTATTATTATTATTATTATTATTTCAGATGATGATGTGGTTGCTCGAGAGTAAACAGGCAAGACTCCGACCTGTCTTTTCCAGGCTTTATTCTTGGTGCAAACTATTTACAGTGAAGAGCGTCATAAGTTCATGTCTGGCTCAATTGCTAGCAGAATCTGGGAGTGCTTGGTTTTTGTACCTCCCCCAGCATAAAAGTTGCGTCACCCCCAACCTTTTCCATCCCTCCCTGCACTGAAGCCTACTGCGCAGAATGGGTGCTGGCAGGGGCATACTTCCCGCCTCTCCAGTTTGCTCAGGCTCGGTGTTCTCCCTAGCATCCCCTGGCCCCTGCACCTCTTCTCCACTGGAGGTGGGGCTTTCCTCTTCGCCGGAAGAGGAACTGCTTCGCAAGGTTTTCAGAAGCTCCCTGTAACACAATTGCCCTTCCATCTCTCACCTCTGAGCTGATGGCAGTTCCCTGACATATTATTATTATTATTATTATTATTATTATTATTATTATTATTATACCTCACCCATCTGGCTAGGTTTCCCCAGCCACTCTGGGCAGCTTACAGCACATTAAAATCGTAAAACATCAAACATTAAAAGCTTCCCTAAACAGGCTGCCTTCAGATGTCTTCTAAAAGTCTGGTAATTGTTTTTCTCTTCGACATCTGGTGGGAGGGCCTTTCACAGGTTGGGTGCCACTACCGAGAAGGCCCTCTGCCTGGTTCCCTGTAACCTCACAGTGAGGGAACCACCAGAAGGCCCTCGGAGCTGGACCTCAGTGTCCGGGCTGAACGATGGGGGTGGAGACGCTCCTTCAGGTATAGGAATGAAAACTCCTATATAGGGGTGGAAATAGGAGGTTAGGAGTAAAAACTCACCACACATTGAGTAGATGGCACAGTTTCTGATTCCGATTCTGTCAGAAAGTAGCACTTCTTGCCTGCCCGCAGCTTCTTTATGTGTTTTCTAGTGAGGAAAGAGTTTTTAAAAATGTTTGGAGACATTGCTCTAGTAGGTGACATCTGGATCTTTTGAAAGGCAGGTCCCATCATCCCCAGCCAGCAAGTCCAATGGTCAGGAATGATAGGAATTGTAGTCTGACAACATCTGGAAGCAACCAGGTTAGGGAAGGCTACCTTCACACCTCCTCTAACATCTGTATGACACAAGAAGGGGAAAGTCTCGATTTTAGCATCAGTAGCCAGATACCTAAAATCAGGAGGAGCATAGTGCCCTCCTGATATTGCTAGACTACAATACCCATCATCCCTGACCATTGGACATGCTGGTTTAGACTGATGGGAATTGTAGTCCCACGGCATCTGTAGGGCACCACATTGGCTACTTCTCCCCTAAGAATCTATCACACACGTAGAAGAAGGAAATTTGTGTGTCGCCACCACCAGCCCGAAGTGCCAACTTGCCCCCGCAGCCGTGAGTGCCCGAGGCCATGAGAAGAGAAGAGTTTGGGTTTGATATCCCGCTTTATCACTACCCTAAGGAGTCTCAAAGCGGCTAACATTCTCCTTTCCCTTCCTCCCCCACAACAAACACTCTGTGAGGTGAGTGAGGCTGAGAGACTTCAGAGAAGTGTGACTAGCCCAAGGTCACCCAGCAGCTGCATGTGGAGGAGCAGGGAAGCGAACCCGGTTCACCAGATTACGAGACTACTGCCCTTAACAACTACACCACACTGGCGTGCATGGCCCTGGCACCAAAATTTGTGGGTGCCTAGCCCCTTCATGGGCAATTTTGTGGGTGCTCGGACACCTAGGATCCCAGGGAGTTGGCATATATGTCACCACCACAAGAGAAGCTCAGTTGCAGACTCCCCAGGAATAATCAGTTCTCTCTTGCCTAGGACAAGTTCACCTTAAAAAAAAGTTATTTATTGTTGCATATAAAAACCCTCCACAGTTTCCATCCAACTTCATCGGCTTATGACAGTACCACAAAGTCTTGCCTCTTTGTCAGGGAAATAGTTGGAGCACTTTCACGGGAAGACCACATGAAAAAGCATTCTCCATTTGTGGATCTAGCAAGGGTCTTGGCCCACAGGGTTGCAGAAAACACCCGGTTTCACTGAGTGCTGATGCAGCAGTGCCACAGATGACTTCAGTTAGTATTATGTCTCCATTGGCATTTTCGTTAACCACAGTTTGCCCAGACCACAGTATAGCAAGCTCACTATTACCCCACACTGTCAACCGTGGTTTGTCGCCGGCAAAAATGCCCATATGAAAACCATGCTAACCACAGTTATCATCAAACCTGAAAGGGAAGAGGGAATGTCTGTGCAAGTGGGCAAGCCCAGTGGACGTTCCCAAATCCTGATAAGGCAATTGCCAGTATTATTTTTGCCCTAGGCATATCCACCATACCTGTAGCAGGCTAACATTAACAGTACGTAAGCAACACTCATGACAGAGGAAGCAACAGTTGTGCAAATCCAAACACCTGTGAAACAAGCAAAAAGACACAATCCATACAATATTCTGTCTTTGAACACATTGGAAAATATGAACTGACTTAGCCATGCCAGGAACACTTTCAGTTTAAAAACAAACAATGCAAAACATGTGCTTATCACTGATCTTCTAAACATCTGTACTGTACTGAAACTCTGATGTGCTACAACATCTGCCTTTTAATCATATAGGGATAAACATGTATCCTTGCTTTAAACCTCCGCTTGGTTCTTCGCTTGTGAACTGCTCAGGGTAGATTTGGAAGGGCAAAACTTAAATGGATACACCACATGAAAACTTTTTACGTTGAGATCTGGCCAGGCTAAAGAGCTAGGGTTTGTCAACATCCAGAGAAGAAACCTGAACTTCTGAACATGGAACATCTCTCCCAGAGCAGAGCACTAGATGCTCATGAGCAGAGATGAGAAACTCAGACCCATGAGCGAAATCATGGCTGAGGTTATTACCCCTCTATTATTGTCCATGCTGGGTCGCTCAACCATTGCTACTGTGACCTTTTTTTTAGCAGATCAAGATGATCTGCTCTGGTCAGACCTCACCTGGAGTACTGTGTCCAGTTCTGGGCACCACAGTTCAAGAGGGACACTGACAAACTGGAACGTGTCCAGAGGAGGGCAACCAAAATGGTCAAAGGCCTGGAAACGATGCCTTATGAGGAACGGCTAAGGGAGCTGGGCATGTTTAGCCTGGAGAAGAGGAGGTTAAGGGGTGATATGATAGCCATGTTCAAATATATAAAAGGATGTCACGTAGAGGAGGGAGAAAGGTTGTTTTCTGCTGCTCCAGAGAAGCGGACAGGGAGCAATGGATCCAAACTACAAGAAAGAAGATTCCACCTAAACATTAGGAGGAACTTCCTGACAGTAAGAGCTGTTCGACAGTGGAATTTGCTGCCAAGGAGTGTGGTGGAGTCTCCTCCTTTGGAGGTCTTTAAGCAGAGGCTTGACAACCATATGTCAGGAGTGCTCTGATGGTGTTTCCTGCTTGGCAGGGGGTTGGACTCGATGGCCCTTGTGGTCTCTTCCAACTCTATGATTCTATGATTCTATGATCAGGCGACAGCAAAAACTGCAAGGTTTTTAGCAAGGTCAATTAGAATAAGATCTATTATTTGGTTATTGATTGAAACCTCCAAAATGTACCGTATTTTGTATAGTTAAGTTTTTACCTCTATCTTCAGTACGTTTTGTTTTGTTTTGTTTTGTTTTGTTTGTTTTGTTTCGTTTTGTTTTGTTTTGTTTGTTTATGGCTAGTGGCTGATGCAAATAAAGTTTCTTCTGATTCATATAATACCCTCTGTCCATCCAGCCCCAGCAGGTCCTCCTCCAAATAATACAACAGTTAGATTTAGGATGCAAAACGTTCCCCCTACCTTCTACAACAGTATTAAATTCTCCAAAAGACTTGGAAAGGGCCATGGTTTCTTCTAATTCGTCAGGAGAAGATTGAAGCAGATGGTCTAGCAATGTTTTAAGATTTTTTAGCATGTCGATAGTAAACTTGGATACAATAAATTCACCTACAACAAACTGGAGAATACACAGATGATGAAGATAACAACAGTCGCTATCTCAAAAGAAAAATGATAGGATAAAAGAACATATTATGCTTTTTTGAAATAAAAATAATACAGTTGTACCTCAGGTTAAGAACTTAATTCGTTCTGGAGGTCCATTCTTAACCTGAAACTGTTCTTAACCTGAGGTACCACTTTAGCTAATGGGGCCTCCTGCTGCCGCTGCTGCACAATTTCTGTTCTCATCCTGAAGCAAAGTTCTTAACCCGAGGTACTATTTCTGGGTTAGCAGAGTCTGTAACCTGAAGCATCTGTAACCCGAGGTACCACTGTAACTAGTTATTAATATACAGTCATACCTTGCATCCGGAACGCCTTGTGAGTTGAACGTTTTGGCTCCCGAACGCCGCAAACCCGGAAGTGAGTGTTCTGGTTTGTGAACATTCTTTGGAAGCCAAACATCCAATGGGGCTTCTGCAGCTTCCGATTGGCTGCAGGAACTTCCTGCAGCCAATCAGAAGCCATGTTTTGGTTCCTGAACGTTTTGGAAGTCAAATGGACTTCCAGAACGGATTCCGTTCAACTTCCAAGGTACAACTGTACCTAGAAATGACAAAGGACCAAGAAACTATTCAGAAACCATTATGTCTCTCTGCTGAATGATATAAAGGAAGATATAGGGTGGTCTTTAACTTGTGCAATTAATGTCACTAGGGACTCAGCTACATTAGTGAAGAAAATAGGGAGGAAAAGGTGTTTTAAATGCGTTATAACACTGACACCAGATGGCATCCTTCAACATTTTTTGATGTGTCTAGATCCAGCCTAGGACCGTGATTTAGTGTTTCTCGACTGATTTGAGAAGGAAAGGAAAGGGAGCTATTAAAACAATGATTTATTTATTTTGGAAGCACCTACTGCATTTGCTTATAATGTCAAACTATGCTTTAGTGCTACATGGACACATTCCCATAACTTGTTTCAAAACAGGCCAGCTTCAAACTATGGAATTACACAGCTGGTTTGTTTAACAAACCAGAGCCTGTTTCAAGCCAGGATCCCTGGTTGGTACATCACAACAGACTGCTATTCTTTGAAAGTGAAGCAAAATACTGCAGAAGTCTTCCTCCCATCCAAATGCAAGGAGGAGAGGGCGCGAGGAGCATGTGAGCCCAACACTTTGCTCAGAATCACTGCAGCTCAGCCACACAGCACTAAAAACCATGGCTTCTGGTTATGTGCAAAGGCAGCCATTGTTAGGAATCTAGAATAAGTTGAAGTCTAGGCTGGCACCAGGCACACACCTCTGCCCCTTAAAATTGACCCACCCTTTTCTTCTCATTGGGACGCGGGTGGTGCTGTAGGTTAAACCACAGAGCCTAGGACTTACCGATCAAAAGGTCGGCGCTTCAAATCCCCGCGACGGGGTGAGCTCCCGTTGCTCGGTCCCTGCTCCTGCCAACCTAGCAGTTCGAAAGCACACCAGTGCAAGTAGTTAAATAGGTAGCGCTCTAGCAGGAAGGTAAACGGCATTTCCGTGCACTGCTCTGGTTCGCCAGAAGCGGCTTAGTCATGCTGGCCACATGACCCGGAAGCTGTACGCCAGCTCCCTCGGCCAATAAAGCGAGATGAGCGCCACAACCCCAGAGTCGTCCACGACTGGACCTAATGGGGTCCCTTTACCTTTTATCTTTCTTCTCATATGCAACAATTGAATACAGCACTGTCTTTTCAGTAGTTTCTTGGGCGGTTTTTTAGCCCTCCTCTGTTTTAATTTTTCTACTTTCACTTTTATTTTTATTCACAATATCCATCATTTTTATTGTATTCTGTATGTGTTTATGCCAATCAAACTTATTTTTAAAAAAATACTAGACTGGCACCAAGCACATCGCTGCCGCCACCCTTAGCTTCAGTGCCGGATTTATATATAAGCTAAACAAGCTATATCTTAAAAGGACCCCTGACCATTAGGTCCAGTTGTGGCCACTCTGGAGTTGCGGCGCTCATCTCACTTTACTGGCCGAAGGAGCTGGCGTACAGCTTCCGGGTCATGTGGCCAGCATGACTAAGCCGCTTCTGGCGAACCCGAGCAGGGCATGGAAACGCCGTTTACCTTCCCACCGGAGCGGTACCTATTTATCTACTTGCACTTTGACGTGCTTTCAAACTGCTAGGTTGGCAGGAGCAGGGACCGAGCAACGGGAGCTCACCCCGTCGCGGGGATTCAAACCGCCAACCTTCTGGTCGGCAAGTCCTAGGCTCTGTGGTTTAACCCACAGCACCACCTGCTCCCCCTTAAACAAGCTAGAGCTTAGGGCCTCCAAAAAATTTAAAGGGAAAAAAACATGGATGTACATTTCCAGAATATAAGATTTAAAAAACCAAATAAAATAAAACCTACATACAGCAACAGTGTTTTGTGTTGTGTAGGCTCTGTAGGCTCCTATTTTTTTGTGCAAATGGCTTTAGATACCTATTAGGTCCATAAATTACCATATAGCATATATTCAACACCAAAAACAGTGACAATTTGTTGTTGACAAAGGACAGCTGGACATATAAAGGGCCCCATTACCTTCAGTAGCTTAGGACCTCATCAAACCTAAATCCGGCCCTGCAGACATCCATTATTTAATCTGGTCTCCAACACATGGAGACTAGGCTCTAGCACAGCTACTGAAGAATTTAAGAGAAGCAGCTACGCTTTGCCAGCTCAGGGAATCAGGTCATGCAAGCTCCTTTACTTACTGTATAAAGGCAGACAAAGAGAAGCACAGCAGTGGCAATCATTCTGCTCGGGAATCGAAAGTAAGGGTCCCATTGATACATCTTCCTCCTAATCCAGGATTTCTGAGGTGGCCTGTTAGTACACATAATGCAGGTGGGGCCGGTGAGGAGGAGCAGAGGTGAGCACACACACACACACACACACCCTGACAACACTGCTGCGTACCGGAAGTAGAAGGGGAAAGGTTTGTGCTGGGCAGGGAAATTTGCAGGGTCGCTAGGATGGGTTCACTGGTGCGTTCGGACCAAACTGCCCACCATGTCCCTCTTGTTGGAGTTTGGTAAACTTACTGCAGAAATAAGTAGTCTGGCAAGACTGCTGGTTGGAAGCAGTGGCGTAGCGTGGGTTGTCAGCACCCGGGGCAAGGCAAGTAATTTGCGCCCCCTAACCCCTAACCTGCCGCCGCTGCCAGCTTCTTCTTGCTGCTGCCTGGGCTGGGGTATTTACAGTAAGGTAGCCACGGCGGCGGCGGGTCCGTGTCAGGTGATCTGAGGCGAGTTGCCGCTGGCGCTGCCGCCCAAACGACGCCGCTTGCCTGGAGGAGGAGGAGGGCAGAGAGGTGAGGAAAATGCAACATGGCCCAGCAGCTGCAGCAGCGGCGGCGGGGCTGTGAGGAGGGGCTGCCTGGCGCGCCCTCTGCGGCCCTGATGCGCGGGGACCGCGGCGAGCGCTGAGAGCCGCTGCCAGCTCGTCGGTTCCGTGAGACATGGGGCTCTGCTACAGCCTGCGCCCGAGGCTCTTCAGCGACGAGCACGCCCCCCCCCAGATGTTGCGCCTGGTGCAGCCGCCCCCCCCTGCACCCCCCACGCTACGCCACTGGTTGGAAGAGTAAGGAAAATGTATGGTTTATAAAGCACGGCAAACAAAATGATTGTATGTACAGTGGTACCTCGGTTTTTGAACGTCTCAGAAGTCAAACGTTTCGGTTTTCAAACGCTGAAAACCCGGAAGTAACTGCTTCAGTTTTCGAACACTTTTTGGAAGTGCCACGCGGCTTCCGTATTGAGTTTTCCATAAGTAAATGCTTCCAAAAGTAGCAGCTTTGGTATTTGAACATTTCGGAAGTCGAACGGTATTCCAGAATGGATTACATTTGGAAACCGAGGGACCACTGTATTTGTTTTCCATGGGGCCAAGAAGAAAACATGCATGCTAGCTCATACTGATATTGAACTTGGAGAAGCAGGAAGCAGTGTACTTTGCCAACAAGCAGTTACTAAAAGGACACTCCTCAGTGAGGGGAAAGAGGCTTTCCTTTTTGTCTATCGCCACCCCCACCCCCGGTTTGCATACCGTATTTCAAGCATTGCTGCTTTACTCCCCAAACCTCTCTCTGTGTCTGTCTGGTACATGATCACTGCCAGGAAGCCAGAGGCACACAGCCACCCTGCTGACAAATCCGTACTGAATATACATTGTATGAACTGAGTGATGACTTAGAAAAGGCAAAAGGATGATCGATAGCCTCCTCTGCCTTGCAGAATGTTCTGAATGCTAGTGGGAGTCCCTTCCATCTCTTAGTGTCAGGCGGCTTACTCAGCGACTCCCAGCTGGTTGCCAGGAATGTACAAAGACAAGGGAATGTTGGTGTGATGGCCTGGGATTTGGACTCGGATGCTGAACTTGAGGGATTCCAGCCTGCACAGGAGTCCCCGCCTCCAGAACCAGCTGAGCCAGGGCTGGGGCTTGAGCCTGAAGGGTCCTCACCTGTGCCGGATCCTCAGCTGCAGGCACCAGCTGAGTCTGCTCTGGCTCCTGAGGTGATGGAGGACCCATTGCCTGCAGGTGCTCCACTCTCAGCCCCGTCAGGGGAAGCTGAGGTTGCCTCTGGGTCTGGTAACCCTCCAGCCTCTCCTGAGCTACAGAGGCTCAGGGCAGAGAGGCGGAGGGAACTAAGTTCCTGCAGGAGGAGTGCTCACCTCCAGGCCAGGAGAGGCGAGGCACCAGAGGATCGGGGCCGCCCTATGCCTCGGGGCAGATAAATGCCGGCCAGCCCTAGTCCCAAGTTGCGGGAGCAACATTGTTGGTTGTTAGTTCCTGCCTGAACCCTGTCCTGCTTTTCTGCCTGAGCTCCTGACCCGCCCTGGCTCCCTGCTTGCATGCCTGTTCCTGACTTCACCCAACTCCCTGCCCTGCACCCAGCTTCAGCTTCTACGGACTGCCTCCATGTTGCACCTTTGACCACGGACTGGACTTGGACCTCGCCTCTCGGGTAACCCACGGGACCAGCACAGTTTCGTACTGTCCTCTTTTTATTCAATATTTACAGAGAGAGGCTATAGAACCCAGCCTCTTGGATAATGGCATTGTCCCGAGTGACTCTCCACCCCCACTTCCTCATTGGTCACTTCTACAGGTACTGCTATGTGCCCTCTGCTTTTGAGCTCTTTGCTCTCCTACTTTCAAGGCTCGCCGGGTTCTAGGAGGGGGGGTCTGGAATGCTTTCTAAAGACACTGTGTCAACTGTCGCCCCTGCACCTTCCTCCTCCTCCTCCTCTCCCATTATTTCCCAATCAAAATGTTTATTCGGCTTTACGCCCATCATGAAACACAACACAACACAACAAAACAAATAAAAAAACAAATCAGATCAAATAAAACAGTGGACTCGTACAAGCCACAAGTAGTATAACACAGTTCTCAACTCAGAAGGACAGATATTAGCCATTCATAAGAAAAGTTTAAGATTAAGATTAAAAAAAAAAATTTAAGCACTACACTAAAATCAATATCTCATGTAATTATAGAAAATTCTTATAACTATCAATAATCAGCTAACATTCCATTCCGTCTCTTGTATGAGAGGACGGCTGTTAGGAATTTAGCAACCTGTAGGGTGATATAAGGATCCACATCTTGAAGAACCCAGGCCAGCTGTAGGTCCTCTCCCATTATTTCCCAACTTTCCCCCTCATCTGCCTCTGAGCCATGACTTCCCTCAAACCCCTGTTGTAATTCTGAACTGTCTTCCTCTCCCTCCTCCCTGTGTGGGTCAGGGTGGGGAGGCGGTCTCCGCCATTCCTCCTCTGCCCAGTCCCTGACACTTAGCAAAAGTTCAAACGCCCAGATGAGGACTCTCATCCATATGTTTTTTCATGATATACGATACGATATACGATACAGTGGTGCCTCGCAAGACGAAATTAATTCGTTCCGCGAGTTTTGTCGTCTTGCGATTTTTTTCGTCTTGCGAGGCATGGTGTCGGGAAAGTTTTGGAAAAGCTTCAAAAATCACCAAAGTCTTTAAAAACCTCAAAAAAGGCTACCACACCGCGTTCTATGAGTTGCTCCTCGAAGTCAAGTCGCAACTGTATTAACGGTGTTAAGAAAAAGGAAACAAACTTGCAAGACGTTTCCGTCTTGCGAAGCAAGCCCATAGGGAAAATCGCCTTGCGAAGCAGCTCAAAAAACAAAAAACCCTTTCGTCTAGCGAGTTTTTTGTCTTGCGAGGCATTCATCTTGCGAGGTACCACTGTATACAATATCTTTATTGTCATTGTCCCATGCAGAACAATGAAATTGAAAAACTACAAAAAACTACATAAAACTACATAAAACATTCAAAAACCCCTAAAAACCCTGAAACCCCATTTTAAAATACACTATACTATAGAGACCCCTTATGCTGCGTTTATACCCAGAATTGCATTTGCGTAGAAACTGTTTCTCAGGCGGCTAGTCCTGGCCTTTATAACCCTATGCCTTCTTCCAGAAGGCAGAAGCTGAAAGAGATAATTTCCGGGGTGCATACTATCCTACTGAAATAACGTATTTCAGTGTGTGTTCTGGGCCTTACTGGTGCTTAATCTCTCCTGTATAGGTAGGTGGCAGATATAAGGGCAGCCGTAAGTCAGCAAACATAAATCTGAGAATGAGGGACAGTGAGAGGGGTGGGGAAAACAATAGGTTTGAGCTTGTTTCTACCAAACTTTTCCTGCATTGCTTCTTCAGAGCATGTGGAACTGGCCCGTTATTGAAAAGCCATGGCAACACTCAACTTCTTAATTTTTGAAGGAGTTTGATCACTCCTCCCAGCTGGAGAGAGAGTTTGCTCAGATGGGGATTATCATCAAATCTGGCATGAACACTTTCCTTTAGTTCAAAAGGGGAAATGACCCCAAAACAGAACGATTCCTCACTCCGGTAGCGGTTTCCTCAGCAATTTCTGGACATACAGTATCTGATGCGTTTCCACAAAAGAAGTCTCCTCCTGGGTAGGAAGAAGAAGGAAAGAGTTATGTATGATTCCAAGAATTTCATTTAAGAGTTGCGGGATTCTGTAATTACAGATGTGCTATTCTTGGGCTGAATCCAATACAGCAGGTGTGCCAGAGCTCTGGCCCACCAATGGTTGCTAAACTACAGCTCCCACCATCCTTAGCCAGTGGCCGTGTTCGCTGGGGCTTATGGGTATTGTAGTTTAGCAATACCAATTGTTATGTATTCAGTCGTCTTTGTTTGCCTGAGCAAACAAAGTGTTCTGATTCGATGCACGATATCCAATCACAGAACATTTCAAGATTTGGGCCTCTGCCATTGGCCCTTAAACTCTGAGTTATGATTCGCAGCTTGGAAGTTTAGACAGCCAATCACTGTGGGAGTGGCCCAGGCCTTCGGAAATGTATACAGTGGTACCTCGGGTTACAAACACCTTGGGTTACAAACACTTCAGGTTACAGACTCCACTAACCCAGAATTAGTACCTCGGGTTAAGAGGTTTACCTCAGGTTGAGAACAGAAATTGCGTGCTGGCAGTGCGGTGGAAGCAGGAGGCCCCATTAGCTAAAGTGGTACCTGGTTTCGGGTTAAGAACGGACCTCTGGAATGAATTAAGTTCGTAACCAGAGGTACAACTGTATAAGCAGTTGCTTTGCCCCTAGTTCAATAAAGGTTCTTGCTGTTATCGTTGTGTCTTGCCTTGTGAGAACCCACCTACACCCCACCAATGGTCTCCATACTTGTAATACATACTTAGGTATGTTTAAGCCTATTTACTTGATGTGTTAATCTTTGTTTACTTTGTGGGGGGACCAGACTATGTGAGAAAATCTGATGTCCACAGGGCAAGCACATAGGACGCACGCACACACACCCCGGCTTGTTGTGTAGGAACAGAGAAGGCACTGAAATATGTCTGGGGTGTTTTCTTGCTCAGAACACAGCAGGGACCTGACAACAGTCCTGCACTCCTACTGGTGCTCCGCAGCGTCTAGCTAGGAACTTAAGAATCTGGCCCCAAACAAGCAAATGCCAGCCAAATGAGGATTCGTCAGGAGTCCACACTTTGCAAACAAGGAAGCAACAAAAGGATCCACCTCTTCATAAGCGATAGCTACAAAATGGTGGTTTTTCAACAGCCGTTTTAGTTCACTTTGTAATTAGGAAGGCTGTGGAGAACTAAGAGACCACAGAGGGGTTTACGACTGGAGAGGTAGGTTTGGTGATACAGGATTTCAAGAGCTGACTGACAAGTCTTCCCAAAATATTTGGAACATTACAGCTTTGCTCCTAAAAAAACAGTCCAGATGCTGTAATCTTCACCAGAGGCCATTCTCTGTGTGCTTCATTGGAGGGAGGTGCTGAGGGTTGTGACACAAGGACCAAGGCACCCCATCTGAGGAATGTTGCATGGCGAGTTCCCGCCTCCCTCCTCCGAAATAAAGAAAATTCGGGTTAATGGGTCGAATTAGGCCACAACTTTACAAGGAAGTTGGGGCATGGGTGGAGCAACTCCGGTTTCTTGGGCTGTGAGCTGAGGCAAGCCTGCGAAGGAAAAGCCCCCCAGTAATTTCAGCTCTTTTTATTTAGCCTCAGAAATGGAAGCCTTTGCCGCCAGCTGCTGCCTGCTGAGGTGAAGCCCAGGAGTGACGAGACTGTGCGGCGGCGATCGCAGCTTTCGGACAGCAGGTCCAACGTGCAAGGCTAGCAAGGACACCCAAACAGCCACGATCTAACACCGAAAATCCTCAAGAAATCCAAAGAAAAGGGTTCCAGAGAGAACGCAGAGGATCCAAAAAACCTGTCTGGCTGCGGCGTAGCAAAGAGGGGGTTTCTCGGCCGCGCCGGACCTAAATGCAGCTAGGCCATGCCCCCTGAGCCCTGAGCCAGCCGAGTGTGGGGAAGGAGTGTGAAGCCCGCAACCCTACCTCCTCCCTAGCTCGGAAGTGGCTTTTTCTCCAAGGAAGCATGCCTGCGACCATCATTACCCATTTTTAAGATGCTAAGCTAAGATCTTTTTATTCACTCAGGCCTTTGGGGACTAAGCTGGCAGTGGTGTAGCGTGGGTTGTCAGCACCCGGGGCAAGGCAAGTAATTTGCGCCCCCTAACCCATGGATTTGCGCCCCCTAACCTGTGGATTTGCCCTAACCCCAGATGTTGCGCCCGGTGCGGCCGGCCCCCCCTGCACCCCCCACGCTACGCCACTGTAAGCTGGCCTCCATGATGATGCTCATCTATTGGGGTGGGGCTAGGATTTGTCATTACAGTCGTAACTTGGAAGTCGAATAGCCTAGTTCTCGAACGTTTTGGCTCCTGAACGATCAAAACCCGGAAGTGACTATTCTGGTTTTTTAACACTGTTTTGGAAGCCGGACATCCGGCGGGGCTTCCGTGGTTTCCGATTGGCTGCAGGAGCTTCCTGCAGCCAATTGGAAGCCGCGCTTTGGTTTTCAAACGTTTTGGAAGTCAAACAGACTTCAGGAATGGATTCCATGCGACTTCCAAGGTACGGCTGTATTATTATGATGTTATTGGATGAGCATTTTTGGTATTTTATATTATACATTGTTTTAGTTTTCTTGTTTAGTGTTGTGTTTTTTTAGCTGTTGTATTCTATCTTGTTAAGTCACTTTTGAGGCCTTCTTTGTAAAATAGACAAAAAAAACTACTAACAAATGTCAATAATAATACAGTAGTACCTTGGGTTAAGAACTTAATTCGTTCCAGAGGTCCGTTCTTAACCTGAAACTGTTCTTAACCTGAGGCGTGCTTTCACTAATAGGGCCTCCTGCTGCCACTAGCACGTGATTTCTGTTCTTATCCTGGGGCAAAGTTCTTAACCTGGAGCAACCACTTCCTGGTTAATGGAGTTTGTAACCCAAAGCGTCTGTAACCTGAAGCATCTGTAACCCGAGTTAGGTAAAGGTAAAGGGACCACTGACCATTAGGTCCAGTCGTGACCAACTCTGGGGTTGCGGCGCTCATCTCACTTTATTGGCCGAGGGAGCCAGCGTACATCTTCCGGGTCATGTAACCCGAGTTACCATTGTACTAATAATGCTGAATTTAAATAGAGAATGGTCAAAATAAGCAAATGACAAATGTAAAACATTGATAGAGCTGTACTTATTTCATGGCACAGTTAACTGCCATTTTCAGCAATGTACAGAATTCAGAAGGCAGAAGAAATGTTTTTGTTTTCAAAAGAATTATAATAGGAAAATGTGATTATCACAAAATACTCACATTTACGGAGTCACGCCGACAACGGACTATTATGGCTTTCACAAAAATGTGAACAAATTTGCCTAGAAGGAAAAGGTAGCACACCAAGGAAGGCCAGCCCTTTATGAGGTTGTCATATTCACCCAAAAACTAGGCAAAAAAGGGAAAAAAAGCAGAATTACCAAAGGCAAACATTACACCACCCGTCATATACCCTGAAAGCTCAGCTTAAGTTATTAAGCCTGTCTTGTCCTGAACGGCAGAATCAGGATCATAACTAAGATCAACGCACTCTGCCATTTGGGTTGACTTCCTAAATGCTGGAGCGTGTGTGTGTGTGTGTGTGTGTGTGTGTGTGTTTGTATCGCTTTATTGGCCGAGGGAGCCGGCGTACAGCTTCCGGGTCATGTGGCCAGCATGACTAAGCTGCTTCTGGCGAACCAGAGCAGTACACGGAAATGCTGTTTACCTTCCCGACGGAGCGATACCTATTTATCTACTTGCACTTTGTGCTTTTGAACTGCTAGGTTGGCAGGACCTGGGACCGAACAACAGGAGCTCACCCCGTTGCAGGGATTCGAACCGCCGACCTTCTGATCGTCAAGTCCTAGGCTCTGTGGTTTAACCCACAGTGCCACCCGCGTCCCCATATATATATATAATTATTTACAGGGGTTGAGTATGGGCTTAGTTTGTTTCACCTGCACCATATCCCTAACCCTAACCCTACCCTTGTTAGTGAATCCTTCGGTGAGAGACTAAAACCCTAGCCCCTAAGACAGTGGCGGCGAACCTTTTAGAAATCGAGTGCCCAAACTGCAACCCAAAACCCACTAATTTATCACAAAGTGCCAATGCGGAAACTTAATGTGGGATAATAATGATTATCTGCATGCGCACATACAAATAAATATACTGAAAGAAAATGAGGGGAAGTTGCACAGAGTTGTTGAGTTTTTTTTTGGGGGGTGCCAATAATTGTTTAGCTTTTTTGGGTGGGGTTGCATAATATACGCTTCCTATACGCTTCCTGACTCAGAAGCAACCAATAGTCTCAACGCTTGCCGACAGCATCCAATCAGCATTCACCCTTGACACAGCCACCCATCACATGCACTAACACCGCTAACTATCTCCTGCTCGTGGCATCAACCAATCCCAACAAGCATGGGATTCCGAGCACAACGAGTACGTTTCCGAGCACAATTCAAAGTTTTGGTGCTGACCTTTAAAGCCCTAAACGGCCTCGGCCCAGTATACCTGAAGGAGCGTCTCCACATCCATTGTTCTGCCCAGATACTGAGGTCCAGCTCTGAGAACCTTCTGGCAGTTCCCTCGCTGCGAGAATCCAAGTTACAGGGAACCAGGCAGAGGGCCTTCTTGGTAGTGGCACCCACCCTGTGGAACGCTCTCCCACCAGATGTCAAAGAGGAAAAATAACTACCAAACTTTTAGAAGACATCTGAAGGCAGCCCTGTTTAGAGAGGCTTTTAATGCATGGAAGTGAGAGCTGGACCATAAAGAAGGCTGATCGCCGAAGAATTGATGCTTTTGAATTACAGTGCTGGAGGAGACTCTTGAGAGTCCCATGGACTGCAAGAAGATCAAACCTATCCATTCTGAAGGAAATCAGCCCTGAGTGCTCACTGGAAGGACAGATCGTGAAGCTGAGGCTCCAATACTTTGGCCACCACATGAGAAGAGAAGACTCCCTGGAAAAGACCCTGATGTTGGGAAAGATGGAGGGCACAAGGAGAAGGGGATGACAGAGGACGAGATGGTTGGACAGTATTCTCGAAGCTACCAGCATGAGTAGCCATGAGGTCAGGAGGAGCAGAAATGGAATGGTGTGTTCTAGAAGAAGGCAGGGCTGGAACCCTGACAAGCAGAACACACTGCAACATTTCATTGTAGATGCCCCTTGTAGGTCCCATACAGTGAGCCCGTCCCAAATCAAACCATGCCCCCTTCTGCCTATTTCACAGCCATGTATCCTATATAAACCAACAGCTAAGTCTTTTCTCAAGTATCTTCAGTCTAGGAATCAATGGTCCCAGGCTTACTGGATTCTGTGCTTCATCCACTGCTGAGAGGGCAGACATGGGCCTTGATTTCCGAATTCTTTTCAGGCAGGTCTGCAGTTCAGCAGCAAAGCCACATGGATGTGGCTGCAAAAGCTCCCTGGTAGCTCCAGAGAAGCCTGAGAAAACTCTGAGGGCCATAAGCATTTCCATTCCTTCTCGGTGACTTCAGGGCAGGGTGTCCTCTGTTGAAAGCCCTCTAGTTTTGGCCCTGCTTTCTTGTACCCTGTCCATGGTCCTGAAAACCTGAATCGTGTCTCCATTCTTCTTCCTTCCCAAAAGTTTTGGAGGCATCTAATTCCTGGACTGAAGGAATTATCCATGGCGCTTGTCCTCTCACACACAGTGGTGGTTCTTTCACAGGCCTTAGATTTCTACCACAGCTTTCCTCTGTAGGCCGAAAGGCCATGTACACAGATCGCAGGTGGCTCTGTGGCAGCCTGTGATGGCCTGGGAATCCGATTCAGAGGCTGAACTGGAGGAATCCCGGCCTGCACAAGAGTCCCTGCCTCCAGGGCCGGCTGAGCTGGGGCGGGGCCTTGGATCTGAAGTGCCTGCACCTGTGCCGGATCCTCAGGAGCAGGCACCAGGTGAATCCACTCTGGCTCCGGAGGTGATTAAGGACACAGTGCCTACAGGTGCGCCTCTCCCAGCCCTGTCAGGGGAAGGTGAGTCTCCCCCTGGGTCCAGTAACCCACCGGCCTCTCCTGAGCTGCAGAGGCTCAGGGCAGAGAGGCGGAGGGAACTGGTTTCTCCCAGGAGGAGTGCTCGCCTTAAGGCCAGGAGAGGCGGGTCTCCTGGGGGATGGGACCGCCCCTGGCCTTAGAGAAGATAAAGGCCAGTCAGCCCGGTCCCAGGTTGTGGGAGCAACGTCGTTGAGTACCTGCTCTTGCCTGGACCCAGACCTGACCTTCCAGTGTTCCTGTCCCTGCCCGGCTTCCTGCTTCAGACCTCGCCTTGCTCCTTGTGAACTGTTTCCAGACCAGTGACCCAGGACCAGACTTTGACTACGCCAACGGTAACCTTCCCCCCGGACCAGCACACAGCCTGTGTGCTAGGGCAGAGATGTCCTCACCATACAGCAGTGTCACTAAGCTGATCTGGGTGAGGGAGTAGCAAGGTGAGGGAACTACAGCTGCCCCAGCAGGACAACTGTTTTGACTCTGCTGGTACACCTGTGCAGCCCCAGCCTCACTGCTGTCTTGTCCCCATCCAGGCAGTAATAATAAGAATAAGAATAAGAATACCGTATTTTTCGCTCCATAAGACGCACCCGACCATAAGACGCATCTAGTTTTAGAGGAGGAGAACAAGGAAAAAAATATTCCCTCCCTCTCTGCGCAGCGCCCCTTCAGCGAAGCGGCAGGAGAAACGGAGCCCCTTCCATTTCTCCTCCCACCTCGCCGAAGGGGCGCTGCGCAGAGAGGGAAAGCTGCACAGCGCCTCTCCAGTGAAGCGAAGCCAGGAGAGCAAGAGGTCAGTGCGCACCGATCCCTCTTGCTCTCCTGGCTTCAGCAAAAGCAACACAAAGCCTCCGGAGCACAGCGAGAGCGTTCCCACTGCACTCCGGAGGCTTTGCATTGCTTTCGCTGAAGCCATGGAGCCTGCATTCACTCCATAAGATGCACACACACTTCCCCTTACTTTTTAGGAGGGGGAAAGTGCCTCTTATAGAGCGAAAAATACGGCACAGTGGTGCCCCGCAAGACGAATGCCTCGCAAGACGAAAAACTCGCTAGACGAAAGGGTTTTCCGTTTTTTTGAGTCGTTCCGCAAGACGAATTTCCCTATGGGCTTGCTTCGCAAGACGAAACGTCTTGCAAGTTCTTGCGAGTTTGTTTCCTTTTTCTTAAAGCCGCTAAGCCGCTAAGCCATTAATAGCCGCTAAGCCACTAATAGCTGCTAAGCCGCTAATAGCCATGCTTCGCAAGACGAAAAAACCGCAAGACGAAGAGACTCGCGGAACGGATTAATTTCGTCTTGCGAGGCACCACTGTAATTTATTTATACTCTGCCCATCTGGCTGGGTTTCTCCAGCCACTCTGGGCGGCTTCCAGCAAAACAGAAAAAAATAATAAAATCTCAAACATTAAAAACTTCCCTAAACAGGGCTGCCTTCAGATGTCTTCTAAAAGTCAGATAGTTGTTTATTTCCTAGACATCTGATGGGAGGGCGTTCCACAGGGCAGGTGCCACTACCGAGAAGGCCCTCTGCCTGGTTCCCTGGAGTGTCACTTCTCACAGTGAGGGAACCGCCAGAAGGCCCTTGGAGCTGGACCTCAGTCTGAACATTGGGGGTGGAGGTGCTCCTTCAGGTATACTGGGCTTTAAAGGTCGGCACCAACACTTCAGCATTGCTGATTTTGGGATGGAAACTCCACAGCATCATGCTGGCCATTGCAGAGGAGGCTCCCCCATTCAGGCTCTGACCCCAGCAGGTAGACAGATAAGAGAGATGAGCACTTACGTTGTTGTCAGGGCACAAGAAATAGTCTACCACCGAGATGAACATCCTTTAAAATAAACAACACTGGAGTTACAGGGATCCTAAGATGCTGTCTGTAGTCAAAATATATGTACTGTTTGTTCAGCCAAACTTCTGAGGCAAACTCCCATCTACCACAGTCCTCATATTGGATTCACATACAGAAAGTACCGTATTTTTTGCTCTATAGGACGCACCGGACCATAGGAGGGGGAGAACGGGGGGGGGGATTCTCCCCCTCTCTGCTCAGCGCCCCTTTAGTGAAGTGGCAGGAGAAACGGAGCCCCTTCCATTTCTCCTCCCGCTTCACTGAAGGGGCGCTGCGCAGAGAGGGAAAATCTCCAGTGAAGCGAAGCCTAGACTGCAAGAGGGTTCGGTGTGCACTGACCCCTCTCACTCTCCAGGCTTCAGGCGGCTATCCGCAAGCCTTCGGAGTGCAGCGGGAACTCCTGCTACGCTCTGAAGGCTTGCGGATAGCTGCCTGAAGGCCCTGGAGCGCAGCAGGAGTTCGCGCTGCACTCTGGGGGCTTCAGGCGGCTTCAGCGAAAGCAACATGAAGCCTCTGGAGCACTGGGGGAGCTCTCCCTCTGCGCTTCGGAGGCTTCGTGTTGCTATCACTGAAGCCAAGGAGCCTGCATTCACTCCATAAGATGCACGCACATTTCCCCTTAATTTTTGAAGGGGGAAAAGTGTGTCTTATAGCGCGAAAAATATGGTATACTGTCTATGTTTTACAAGGAAGGTCTTCACCAGCAACGAAATTAGGGAGTGATTAAAACTCCCCAGCCAGAACAGACTGGTTGGGGGGGGGGTAATGGGAGGCAGCGTTACTGACAAAATTAATATACAAAAAGTAAAGTCTTAAGCAGGTGGCAGAGCATGAGACTCTTGGATCTCAGGGTTGTGGGTGTGAGCCCCACATTGGGCAAAAGATTCCTGCATTGCAAGGGGGTTGGACTAGATGACCGCATGGTCCCTTCCCACTCTACAGTTCTATATTCCTATGATTCTATAACCAGCTGAACAAGTTGGTTGCAAGATGAGCTTTGTTTACCCTACCATTCCCGACCATTGAGCCATGGTGGATGCAGCTGATGGGAGTAGAGTCCAACAATGTCGAGAGTGCACCATGATAGCTATCCCTGATCTAGACAATATTAGGAACCCTGGATCATTTAACTTTTTATATATATATATAATAATATTTTATTAAGTTTAACAATAAAAGGGAAACAGCCAAACATAGAACAGTAAAAACACAGGGAAAATATAAAACACAACATTTAACCTAACAAGGGAAAAAGAAAAAATCAATCCACACACAAAAATAAAATAGGAAAAAACACAAATCACTCTTTTCTAATTGTTCATCTTTGATTAACTTATTTTCCTGACTTCCTCACGCCTCCCTTTTTTGTATCCCTTTTTAACAGTTAGTTCAGCAAATTCGTATCCTACTACTTTGTCCTTATATATTTTACCTCCCAAATTTATAGTTTCAAATTTTTATCTCTTGTTACTAGAACCCCTTCATTTTATTTCAATGTCATCAGCATTCATACATTTTACAGTACTTCTGTAAATAAATTAAAATTTCCTCCAATCTTCTTCCACCAACTCTTCTCCCTGATCTCGGATTCTGCCAGTCATCTCAGCCATTTCCATATAGTCAATTACTTGCGTCTGCCATTCTTCCAAGGTGGCGGATCATTTAAATCTATTTGCTCTCTAGCAATGGTCATCGCAAGCTTCCACAAATGCCCTTCACGAGGTTCTCTAACGGCAAGTTGTCTCTCGCCCCAACATCCCCAGCAATAGCGCTCAGACAAGTCTATCTGATATAAGGCTCTGCTCACCAAGCTGCAGTGTAAAGGAATCCCAGTATAGCTCCGGTAATCGCGTAACTTGTTGAAAGGCAGGCAAAGAAGGGGTACATAGAGATGCCCACTTCGATGGCATGGATTAGAACCACAAAAACTGCAGAAAGATAGGATCGTTTTAGAAACCATAGTTACTCCAGATGGAGGGCTAGCATTTCTCACAGCTACTCTCGGTCACTTGGGGGGATACCCTAAGCACTGATAAAAGCTGGACCACTTTCAATGATGTATTCTCACAGTTGCTAGGTTGGAGGAATATTTAGGGTGGCTGTGAATGGGAGTCTGATGCATTTACTGTGTCTTAGGAGTCAGACTTGGCCTTGAGATGCCTGAAATATGAAGACAGTGAAATATAAGGGAAATATAGCTTTCCCAGTCCCTACATTCCACTTGAATTGTCAGTGGAGCTGAGCTGAGGCAGCATTTGCAGAAGGAAATCAGCAGGTAGGGGAAAGAGTGCTTAACTCTTCCACACAGCCAATCCCCCCCCAATTATTTTTTAAGATCCCTAGTCCCAATAAACAGAGCTCTAAACCTGGAAGAGAGATCAGCAGGAAAGAAAAATGATCCTGGTGGAAGGAAGAAGTCAGCAAGAAGAATTTGGCATATGCAAGGGGAAGTTAAAAACACCCCACCTCACCTTCCGATCTTCCCTTTTCATTCCACTTATGTTAACAAATGCAAGGCTGAGATCGGAATCCTGAATACAAAACTGAACTCACAGATGAGCCCAAAAGCTCAGGTTCTGGCTAGTATCAGGGCAATGAGCAGATTAGTATGGATAAACTGAGAAACGTCAGAGGCTCACGGTATTGTTCTGACCCCAGGCCTCCCTGTTGCTTCTTTGCCACGTGTTTTACCTTTAGCCCACCTCGGAAATAATGAAATGAAGTGGTCTGAGGTAAACAGGTACATCACTTTATCAGCAATAATTCCAAATGCAAATCCAAGTGACCATCGGTTGCTGAAGGCAAGGATATCAAAGGGTCTGTGAGGTGTGGAAAGAAGAAAAGAAGAAATAAATCTTAGGGTTCTGGGAAGCAACTGGGAAGCCATTTCAGAGCTGAAAGCTTATGCGCTGCAGCTCCCGCTTTCAAAGAGTCATAAAACTTAGGTGTGAAATCAACCACCCATCAACTTCAGCTTAGAGAAAGATAACAACAGTGACTGTTCAGTTCGCCATCTTGTGACAGTTTGGTTGGTCCTAATACATAAAAGTACTGCCTGATTTGGAGAGAGCTTTAAATGTATGTTGTGGTTGTGACCTATGAAAAACTCCATCTCTGCGTCATGTGGGCAACCCGATCTTGGTCTTATAGGATCTTTCACAGGAGACCTTGAACCAGGGAGAAAAAAAATCTGTGCCCTTGCACCTCAAGTCTGCAACAAGCAGGAATAAAATACAGTGGTACCTCAGGTTAAGTACTTAATTCGTTCTGGAGGTCTGTTCTTAACCTGAAACTGTTCTTAACCTGAAGCACCACTTTAGCTAATGGGGCCTCCCGCTGCTGCACGATTTCTGTTCTCATCCTGAAGCAAAGTTCTTAACCCGAGGTACTGTTTCTGGGTTAGCGGAGTCTGTAACCTGAAGCGTATGTAACCTGAAGCGTATGTAACCTGAGGTACCACTGTAGTGCTAACATGGAAGATCTTCCTTGCCCGATACAAGAGGAGACTGCAAGGACAGTGACTTATCCTTTTTTTTTATCCCAGATGTAAATACTTGAATTTATGCCTCCCTCAAGACAGATTCAGAAAGGCAACCTGCTTTCATGAAGGAATGGCATTTGTTGCACTGGCGTATTTGTCTTTTTTAGAAAACACTTGTAGCCACAGGAGGAAAGTTATTATTCAACTTACGCCATAATCCCACAGTGTCCATGTAGAGGAATTTTTTCATCTATACAACATCTTTTTATTCTTTTTTCAAGACAGGACAGCACTATAATGATGAAGACCTGCCGATACAGAAGAACAGTCATGAGGGAGTGAAGGCATCCTTTGATCTTTGAGAAACTAATAAAAAATTACAATTGAGTTATTGTCCCTAAAGATGGTCACTCAACCTATCAGCTCAGTTAACCTGTCAGTTAATTAAACCAAGTCAGGATGTTCCTGATGAATTTTCCCATCCATCTCTTGGAAGTGTGTGATTGTTGGGTCAAGTTAAAAATATTGATTCATATGCTGCCAGTGGGTTCTTGTTGTTGTCTTGTTGGGCTACGTGTGTAATAAAAGGGAGCCACACCGGGGTGAAGGCGTCCTCTTTTACAGTATTGGCCTGAATATAAGCCTCATCCCCCCCCAATTAAAGTGTGGCTTAAATTCGCAACCTTACAAAAATTGGCTTTTATGATATCGCTGCTGAAACAGACATACAATAAAATGGAATGGATGTGAGTGGCTGCAGAAATTTTAGGGAGCAGCTTATATTTGGGTATTGACTTTTTTCTCTTCCCCCCCCCCAAAAAAATTTTTTAAAGGTGCAGCTTATATTCTGGTGCAGCTTATATTCAGGCCAATACAGTATTTGTCCCCGTGTTGCTTTCAGTTTGTTAGTTAGTGTTACGGTTCCAAGGGGTTGCTCGAGAGCAAGCAGGCCAATGCCCCCCTGCTCGGCTGCGAAGCCTTGCTTTTGATGCCAAAATAAACTTTATCTGTCCAGAGCCCCACTCTCCCATGTCTTGCTCATTCACTGGCAGAATCTGTGAGTGGGCGGTCCTTAAACCTTCCCCAGCAAAGCAGTTTCTTGACGCCCAGTCTGCGCCTCCTCTCCCAGCGCGAAAGCTTACTGCGCAAGGATGGTGTGGGTAATGGGGGACCTCTCTCTTCCCCGCTTTGCCCAGGCAAGGTGTCCTGGCACCGCCTCGCCTCCTCCGAGCCCTGAAGCTCCTCTCCACTGGAGGCGTGGTTACTCTCCTCCGCTGAGGAGGTGCTGCTTCCCACGATCTTTGGGGGCTCTCTGTAATCCATCCAGCTTTTCCCCTCTCCCTCCTGAGCCGATGGCAGTTCCCTGACAGTTACGGTAGCTTTTCTAGTAAGGCTGTTTCCCATCCAATTTGGTACCAGTGGTTCATGTTCACTCCTGACAGGCCCCTGCACTGTGATGCTTCCGGCAGCTGAGAGTAGGTGGGTTGTAAGCTCTTATTTCTGCAGAGTTCTCCCTGTGTTCTTCGTTCTGGCTCTCTGCAGCAAGCGCACTTAAGATCAGCCTCTGCCAAATTCCCCAACTTAAGCAAGGGTATCAATGCCAAAGTAATTATGTCTGCGTGTGCACGTTAGTGTCCAGTGCAGAACCCAAGAGTAATATATGAGCTCAGTATTCCATTTTGTGCATTTTTCAGTATTATACACAGCCACTCTCCTTCCAGTCTAATGCCAGCCTCAGTATCAGAGTAGCTCTGTATTTCATCAGTCATAACTCAAGAAAGTACGATGATTGGCCTACTTACTGCTGGAGGAAGAGACAAATGTATAAATGCCTCCGTTTCTACTGAATCCTCACAAGAGGAATTTGAGTTGTCCATATCTTCAGAAGAAGTATTTAGGAAACCTGTTTCCCTGTACAAGAAACACAATGGTAAATAGCAGATACGTTAGATGATATACAGAGTTCAGCATCTTAAGCCAGCTTGCAAAACTCTGGTCTTCTATATGCTGGCAATGTCTACAGCCATATGCCCCAAAGTTTGATAGCCAAGATACGTTTTTTAAACATAATAAAAAATAAAATAAAACTGGAAGCATGCCAATGCTTACAACCAAAAGCATTTAATTTTGGGGATGTATATGAATAAAAATTTCTCACCTTCAGAGTACCGCCCCCTGCCCCACTATGCTCCTACATATGTCACTGTCCTAGATATGCCCAAATCAGCTCGAACAGAAATATGGAGGGCACCATCCTCTGGGGGATAGGGAATTCTAGTGCTTGTCTGCATGAGGACAGAAGCGACATGTTTAAACCACACAAAGATGAGTCAGAATATTCTGATCACAGCAGAGGTGAAAGCAAAGCAGTGGGCAGTCTCTTCTACATTTGTTTCCCACAGCAGACACTTAGTTCCCTTGTATGGAAGTGAGAGCTGGACCATAAAGAAGGCTGATCGCAGAAGAATTGATGCTTTTGAATTATGGTGATGGAGGAGACTCTTGAGAGTCCCATAGACTACAAGAAGATCAAACCTCTCCATTCTTAAGGAAATCAGCCCTGAGTGCTCACTGGAAGGACAGATCCTGAAGCTGAGACTCCAGTACTTTGGCCACCTCATGAGAAGAGAAGACTCCCTGGAAAAGACCCTGATGTTGGGAAAGATGGAGGGCACAAGGAGAAGGGGACGACAGAGGACGAGATGGTTGGACAGTGTTCTCGAAGCTACAAACATGAGTCTGACTGAACTGTGGGAGGCAGTGGGAGACAGGAGTGCCTGGCGTGCTCTGGTCCACGGGGTCACGAAGAGTCGGACACAACTAAATGACTAAACAACAACAAGCATGCTAGTGTTGGCACATGTGTTGGGAATTCCTTCTCTGGAGCAGAGGTGGGGAACTGGCAGCCCGTAGGCTGGCTCAGGCCCACCCAGCTGTGTCAAATCGGCCCTTCAGACACACAACTGCAACACACCCTCCACCACTCCATTAGGCAAACAAGTGAGGAAGTGCTGGACAGAGATTGCTGCTTGCCTTCCAGAGTGCTCAGCGTACATTGCAGCACTCGGGAATCATCAGAAGCGGGTTGTGAGACCTTCCACCTACGCTTCCTTCCAAAGATCCCTGGAGCAACTTAAAAGACTTCCCTTGCCTTTCCCATTAGCAAAAACGAGGGTCAGGGAAGCTGGCTTAATCAGGAGCCACCACCTCAGTGACCCTGGAGCTCCCTGAAGCAACCATTCCCAAGGGCACTACTGAGCTCTCTTTGCCATAGCTCAGCTGTTTCTCAATTGGCTGCAAGGGGGTGATTTTCCCAACTGACTCATTGATCAGGAGCAGGATCATTGAGTGGTGGCAAAGAGGGAACTGCTCCTCCAGGTGTGTGTTCCTCCAATATGTTTCTCCAGTGTCAAAGCCATGATTCTTCAACATCTACTTCGTTGGACTGGTCATGTTGCTCAGATGCCTGATTATCATCTTCCAAAGCAGCTATTCTATTCCGAACTTTAAAAATGGAAAGTGTCATGCTGGTGGTCAACAAAAGAGGTTTAAAGACTCTCTCAAGGCAAATCTTAAAAAATCTAGTATAAACACCGACAACTGGGAAACACGGGCCTGCGAGCACTCCAATTGGAGAACAGCCTTTACCAAAGGTGTCATGGGCTTTGAAGAAGCTCAAACTCAGGAAGAAAGGGAGAAACATGCTAAGAGGAAGGCATGAATGGCAAAGCCACACCATAATCAACTCCCACCCGGAAACCTACGTCCCCCACTGTGGAAGGACATGTGGATCCAGAATTGGCCTCCACGGTCACTTACAGACTCATCGTTAAAACTATGTTCTTGGAAGACAATCTTATTTGGCTACAAGTGATCACCAAAGAAGAAGTGTGTATTTTCAGCACTCTTTCAAGTGTCGGCTGACTCCCACGCGAACACAGCACCAAAAGACTCACATCCCAATTTTCTTCAGGAGAATGATGGAGGGTATGCAGTTTTCTTGAAAAGGCAAAGTCACATGGCCTGCTAAAGGTGCTCTGGCAGCGGGGAGCCATTAGGGGGAAGAAATTCCTGGTTCCTGCTTGTCATAGTCAAGATCTTCCTGGACTCCCATGCCATGACCCAGGAAATGCCTGCTCCTGACATCTTCCAGACCATGATGAATGTTGACAATTCAGCCAGGACATAAATGAAGTTATATGCAAACGAGGGCAGGGCTTGTGTACTTTTCATAGACACGTAGACGACATGCCAGTATGCACAGACTTGTCATGTCATAGTGACATGAAATGACAGCTGCTGAAATTCCCTGTGTCTCATATCTGGAGCTAACAACCTCAGCTCCACGTAGAAACCCTTTTGCAGAATTAAGACTTAATGTCATGGTCTCTGCCTTTTCAGATGGCCGTTATAAGAAATTACCCTTGGAACGGTGTCTTGTCTTTACGTATTTTGCAAAACTGTCACAGATGATATTGACCATTATATTACTCAATGTCCATTTTATAAAGATCCCCATGAAAAACATTTGTCCCAACTTCAGTTGCAAGAAGAAATCTGTTATACCTGGTGAGTTTGTATGCTTCCTGCTGTTTGATAATGAAAAAGATGCTCCTTTGCATATTTATCTGCACTGCCAAGAAGTCAAGAGCTAAATTTGTGGCTCAGTTCTGAATGGTCTATGCAGAACTGGCAAAACTGACATACAAGCTACGGGACAAGGATAACTGTGACTTTAAAGATGAATGGGAACCCTTTACAAAGTATTTAACACAACAAAGCAAACTGGACTCCTTGGCTGGTTTTGAATAAACATTCACAAAAATTTTATTGATAATTATTACTTAAATAGTTTGAGGATCTATACAACTGTGTAACATGCAGAAAACAGCATTTTTAGAGAAATCAAAGACTGGAACTGAGGGAAGTTGCGGGTGGGAGGGGAAAAGGGGGAAAATAAGGATGATATGTTTCTGGATAATATGCTTTCTTTTAATTTTGAATAAAAAAGTAATTAAAAAAAGTTCTGAATGGTCCTTTTTGCTTTCTGTTTGATGCAGGTATATATAGCTACACAAATAAATTATTACTTTCCTACCTGTCCATCCACCTGTGCATACAATAGCCTTATTCTCCTTTGCATGTGGCCACTTGCAAATGCTGCCTAAAAATGCTGTAATGTGTGAACCGGTTGAAGCTGATGCAACTTATGCTTCTCCATTCCCCACCTGATGAATTCTACCAAGATGAGCTGCTTCTCCTTATCTCATAGAATCATAGTGTTGGAAGGGATCTTGGAGATCATCTATTGCAACCCCTTCGTTAATGTAGGATCCACGATGGGTCTGCGATGACGGTATCTCTGACAAACAGTGACCCAGCCTCTGCCTTTAAAACTCTAGTGAAGAGCTCATCACCTCCCCAGGCAGTCTGCTTCACTGTAAGGAATGTTCTCCCAATGTTTTCATACACCTCACCATTCTGGTTCCTCTCCTCTCAGCGGCTGGACTGAGGAGGAACGATCGGAGCCGCTGTCGCCCCTTCTCCTGAACCTTCCCAAGGGCAGGGGGCCAGTATTGACTTAGAACAGTGGTTTGCAGAGGGGAATAGTCCAGAGGGGGAAAGCTGGGAAATACTGGGGGAGGAACAGCTAGAAGAGGAAACACCAGGAGAGAGACAGCTGGCAGATTCAGTGTGCTTGTACAGCGTTCCTGACCCCCCTTCGCCTAAGACTAGACGGGCTTTGAAAGTGATAGAACAGAGAGCTCAGCAGAAACAAGTTCAGATTACCCGACGTAGGAGTGACGTAGATAAATGGGGGCGGAGGGGGTGAGCCTTTACTGGGAGCAACACCATTTCTAAAGAGATATGCATTCGTTAGGAGCCAGTGTGGTGTAGTGGTTAAGAGCAGTGGACTCGTAATCTGGTGAACTGGGTTCGCTTCCCCGCTCCTCCACATGCAGCTGCTGGGTGACCTTGGGCCAGTCACACTTCTCTGAAGTCTCTCAGCCCCACTCACCTCACAGAGTGTTTGTTGTGGGGGAGGAAGGGAAAGGAGAATGTTAGCCGCTTTGAGACTCCTTCAGGTAGTGATAAAGCGGGATATCAAATCCAAACTCTTCTCTTCTTCTTCTTTTGTCTCTCGCTGTGATTATTAAAGAAACTAACTGGTATGAATGCTCCTTTCGTTTGATCTGCTTAATTACTGCCACCGAGGGAGGGATCCCCTTTCCGAAAGCCTGACATCTCCTCTAGACATTGATCAATGTCATCCTTAAAATGTGCCTCCCAGGTGCCGTAGTACATATGCAGCTTGACAAGCCGCCAAAGACTGCATTAGCATTGTTAGCACACTGTTGACTCATGTTCAGCTTGTGATCCACTAATTCACCATTTTATATCTGCTGCTGCCAAGCCCTATTTTCCCCATCTTAGACTTATGCTTGTGCTTCTGAGTGTGTGTGTGTGTGTGTGTGTGTGTGTGTGTGTGTCAAAATCCAAGACTTTGCTTTTCTCTGTGTTGAATCCCACCTTGTTCTATTTTGGCCAAGTGCGCCAGCCTTTCAAGGCAATGCTGATTCTAGAACTCCATATGCACAGAAGTGGAAAGAAGAGACAATTCCAACGAAGGAGGAATGGCTTTTAAAAGTTATGGACTACGCAAAGTTGACAGCAATGTTAAGAGATCAAAATGATGAACTTTTTACAGAAGAACGGAGACCTTTTGTTGGACCATTTGGGCAAGAACTACAAATGAAATCGCAGACAGGATTCGAGATAGGAGCAGTAGAAGAAAAATGATAAAGTAATTGTCTTAGAGGGATTTTGATAATAGACGAGAATTTTATATATAATGCAGTAGAAAAGAGTTCGAATTAAAAAACAGTGGAGGTGGGAGTGGAAAGTCAATA